TCGGCGCTCGTTTCCTTTCGAGAAATGTAAATAATCATCAGGTTTATCGGTTGGAAAATGACTTCTGTAAGCTATTGATAGCAGGCCATTCATTCACTCTGATATGAACATCGCATAACCGTTTGCTTTTTAATGTGCATCGGACAGATATTTTCGCGTCAAATTGAGAATGTGTTGGCATTGGGCGCATTAACACACCTAACAATTCGCCAGTTTTAACGAGGGACTATCGATGAATTTAATTTTAATAGAGGTACTCCGAGCGAAATTAGGCCGATTTCCCTCAATTAATGAATTTTGCTAATAGTCGGAAACAAAAAAAAAATCCTCAATAAGTGAGGCCTGCCCATAACCAAGGTGGATTATCCATCTGTCAACACGGTGCGTTACGACGTAACAAACGTGTGTTAGAAAATCCACCATGGCTCATTCGATATGCTACAGTATTTGAAATCAGTAACCTACCAAGCTTATTGTGCAAAGTTCAAGTCGCGATAGATGCGTCAAGTCAAACAAGAACACCAGAACCGTATAATACAATTGGTATTTGTGGTGTACTACAGTACCGGTAGAGGTATTAACTTAACCCCCCCCCCCTTTTTTTTTTTTTTTTTTTTTTAACTCTATCGGCTTATGATCACCACCGCATGTTTACTGTAAGTCGTGTGATTGCGTACATGCTAAGCCTTCCCCACAGACAAATCCGTGAAAAACACAGATTTTTGTGAAAAAGGTGTTTTTTTAATAGAGGGCGGTAGTGAGCGGGTGTGAGGAGCGTAGTCGAAGCAAACCCGAGCTGGGTGCCCGCGAAGCAGGGCCGCTCGGTATTTGCGTAGGCGGGCCCAGCGATGAACTCACCAGCGAACGGACCCGCAACACTCTCCAGAACATGTTTTTCTAATGCGGGGGTCTGGGGGTGCAACCACCAGTATGCTTTTAGTAGTGGCCCTTATCCGGTATACCGATATTTCTGTGCAATTCAACCGTAGATTGCTTATTCTTTCTGTGCTATTCTACCGCTCTCTGCTTGGGGAAGGAGAGCGGTAGAATAGCACAGACAGAATAAGTTCCCAAAGCACCACC